GGCTATGTCTAGACTGCAGGCTTCTTTCGAAAGAGAAATCCGCTTTTTCGAAAGAGAGCACCCAGCGAGTCTGGATGCTCTCTTTCGAAGACGGCCTCTTTACATTGAAGAACGCCTTCTTTCGAAAGAGGAACTTTCGAAGGAAGGCGTTCTTCCTCGTGAAACGAGGTTTACCTCCATCGAAAGAAAAGCTGCGTTCTTTCGAAATAATTTCGAAAGAACACGGCTTGAGTCTGGACGCAGGGGAAGTTTTTTCGGGAAAAGGCTACTTTTCCCGAAAAAAACCCTGAGTCTGGACACGGCCTAAGGGAAAGAATGAATGGACACAAATCAGATATCCGAAAAGACAACACACAGAAACCTGTTGGAGAACACTGTAACCTGCCCGGACACTCATTAATGGACCTCCAAGTCACCGTGTTGTTTCAGGACAATTCCACAAGCCAAATACACAGGGAAGGGTTGGAACTTAACATCATTTACACGTTTAATTCTTATCAGAATGGAATGAACAGAGACATTAGCTGGCTCGCACATTACCTTCCGCATCTTAATGACTTAACCAACCAATGGAAGTGCTAATTGTTCTTATCAGCGTCTTGTAACTTGAACAATCTATTCACTGTCTTCCCTTTCTTTTTTTCTTTCCTTCCCTTATTTATTCTTGGATCTGGACTTTTTATACTCCAGTCATCTGAAGAAGTGGGTCGTACCCATGAAAGCTCATGATACCATCTACATGTTTTGTTAGTCTTTAAGGTGTTACTGACTATTTGTTGTTTTATAAATTTTTCATGATGGCTATTGTCAGGGCTCGCCAAGCCACGGCGAGCCCCGCTTGCTAGCCGTGCTGTCCAGCGATCTGCGCATGTGCATCCACAGGCGAGTATATTACATAGTTTATCGAGCCCTGGATATAGATATAGATATATTAGAGCATGTCTTGGCTATTCTTACCCCAGAGACTCAGGTAAGCAAATGGTTACTATGGACCAACTAGGATTTTAAGTGTCTCTGCACAGAAGTGAGGTTCGACCTGGCACTCCCGTATCTAATCACCGGTAAGAATGACACAGCCAGAGTCTAGAATAAATTTAAACTCAACTATATTGTCAATTTGAATAAAACACAGCAATTAACAATATAGACAGCAATCCCTGACACTTTGTGTCAGCAAACCAATCCACACCCAAAAAGAAATAGAAGATAGAAAAGAAAACCCCAGAAGGTAAGCAACTTTACAATTAGTAGATGGTACAGTGGAGGAACCAGACAGGATTCAGTTAGGTTGCTTGGGACCTTCAAACCTAGGGCTACTTATAGCCGTTGGGGAGGAACACCAAGTGATCCCTCGAGGATTTTTAGATGATACTAGGACAGAGCAATTCCGGAAAGGCCTGGGCCTTCGCCACGGCAGTCCAAAATTTCCGCAATTAGCAGCTTGTGTCTTTAGCTACACCGATGCTGGGGCCTTCATCACAACTCGGGAACCTGGACAGTTCAGGTGTTATTCAGCTGGGATGGTGAGGACCCTCGATCTCTAGCTGACACTCCCACACGCAGTGACTGAGTCTTCGCTACAGACTACGCTGAAAGATGCTACAGAGGCCTAAGCGTCTCACCACCCTTGAGTCCGACGAAGCAGCAACCGAGGAAGAAGAAGCCCGAGCCTTGGGGTGAGAGCTCCTTTTCAAAGGCCCTTGGCGGGAAAAGGGGGTTTGTGCTGTGTGCACACTAGATGGTGCAGTGTGTAAACAGTTAGTGCTGAGTGCAAGTGTTTAGTGCTGAGAGCAAATGATGATAAGTGACGTGTTCAACCTTTAGTGCTGAGTGCAACAGTTCTTCTGGCAGGAAAATCCAGTCCATACAGTTCCTCTGCCTCAGCAGTCCCAACAGTTCATAGGTGGTAAAATAGAATTGAGGATTCAAAATGGAGGTTGGATTACACTGTCCATATCAGCACATAGCAGCACTCAGATTAATCCCAACACTATGTTCCTCTGGGAAGAACTGAACTGTTCGTTTCAAGAGTGGGACTTATGAGTATGGATGAAAGAACTTTCTTGATAGCAGACCTGTACTGTGGAATTTGGGGGCAGAAGAGATTGAAATAGCCACAAGCCTCCACATTGAAATGGAAATTTTTCTTCTTACGTGTGGTCATCCAACAATAAGTGTGTTTACTAACATAAAATTGGATTACTACCTCTTAAGTGGCAGATGGAGAGAAAGAAACAAAGATCCTTATACACATGCTTTTGCATTTATAAGTAAGTTACTCTAATAAGCAGGGCTCGACAATCTATGTAATCTACTCGTCCGTGGTGAGTAGATTACAACCCGGAAGAGCCGAGTTTGGGCTATATGCGCATGCGCAGAATGATTTGCACATGTGCAGACGCTGGGCAGCATGGCTGGCGAGCGGGGCTTGCTGCGGCTCGGCGAGCCCTGCTAATAAGCAATGTATAAATGCCTAGTTAAGTGAGAGAGTAAGGTGACAGTTTGGTTTTAAATCTCTTCTTAAAATTATTAGCTTGTGATCACTCCTAAATCCTTAAATTCTTATGATGAGGTTCAGACTAGGGATGTTAAATATCAGTAATTGAATAGTCAATTAACCTCATGGATTCTTATTGGTTACTCAACTATTCTATAGTCCACGGGCAGCCCCTGTCCAGGAGCGGGAGGTCTGCACTCCCAGACCTGGCACGAGCTGGAACTGAGCCAGGCTGGCTGCCTGCCTGCTTCCTAATACACTTTAAATGCAGAGTCGCATTGGGGGTAGGTCCAGGACCCAGTGCAAGCTGGGACTGAGCTGGGCTGCTGGTCAGCCCGCTAAAAAATTTACTGGCAAGGGATGGGGGGGGGGAAATGCATGAAGTTTTTAGCATTAACTTATAAGCTTTTGCTTATCAGTTAATCAACTATACTATTACATCCCTAATTCAGACCCTCTCAGTTTTGTTTGTGTAGAAAGGCATAATATAGGTCTACAAAAGCAACCTTATTTGGGCTTGTATTATAATTCCATATAGAGCGTTCGGGGGAAATTAATTTTTATCAGAGCAGTAGAGTTCAATTTCTAACTTGTGACAAGCAATCTGTACAAGATGTTGGGCAGTCGGTCCAGAGAATAAGAAAACCGTTACTATTCCCATTAACAGTAGGCTCTGCCCTAGCATGGTTCCTCTGTGGCTTTCAGCTGCAGAGAAATATCCCAGAGCAGGTTCCAACACTAGTGTCCTAATGGATATTATTTTGTCCATATACATATAAAAATAAATTATCTTAATCTGGCCCATCATGGAACAAGAAGTCTCTTTTGTTCCTAATGATTTAAATTTGTTGTGCAAGAATGAGGTTTGATTACATTATATTTAATTTTGTTTCCACTACTTGTACATTAGAAATGGTAGAACATCATGTCTTATTAGATGCTATAGTAGATTACTGTAAGCAATATAGTTCTGCCTGTTTGCTTTGCTACACAATCCACTTTAGCATAGCTGCTTGTTGTCAGGGAATTTAAATAATAAATATAACTTTAAGGTTTTCTTGGATCTTCTGACAGTTTAAAGAGCAACGCCAAAGCAATTCTGTTCCTAAAGGAAGAAGCATGTTGTGGTCTCTTCTGTTCCTAAAAGAAGAAGCATGTTCCCAATCTGCTTTAATACAGTCCTCATAGTGTAGTAGAGTTACAACTCTCTTTGCTCCCTCTTTTGGAATTTGGCTTTGTTTTTCAAGTGCATCGTAACTGGGTGCAAGCAAACAATATGCATTTTATTATGGTTAAATGTAAAGGTATATATCTAGGAACAAAGAAGGTACACTTTACTGATAGGATGAGGAATTCTCTCCTGAAAAGCAGTGTCTGTGAAAAAGATTTTGTGGAGTGAGATGGATAATCATCTGAATATGAGCTCCCAGCGTGCTGCTGTCCAAAAGAACTAATGAGATTCCTTGGATGCATAAATAGGAGAATCTCAAGTAGGAGTAGGAAGATTATTTTACCTCATTAGTTAGGTGAGGTCACCTCGATGGTTTCCTGACAAGTCCTCTACTCCATCAATGATGATAAACTTTTGGCTGCATGCGTGCGTGTGTTCCCCGTCTAACATGTTAACCATGCACAATTAGTCATCATGACAGACTCCAAGAGAGCCCCAGAGACCACAAATCAGACAAGGATCGAAAGCACCTGAATATGTTTATTGTCAAGTGAGGTACAATATTAGTTGTCAGAGAGCAGACTCGCTACTGCGCCATTATATAAATGTACACCATGACAATGGACTAATCCCCAACTAAACACTCTGGATTGTAGCGTTCCCCGACAGTTAGTCAATGACCACCCTTTAGGTTCTACTTTTATGCACAGGTACAAACAAATTACATATCACTCCTGACATATCAGGTTGCCAGCCTCTGTAAGCTAGTTACCATCCCTTACCTCAGAGAAGGCCAAGTTTCCATTACTATCCATCATGCTGTCAATTCATACTCATCCTGAACCCTGGGTTGGTATGTATGTTGTGTGTGTGTGTGTGTGTGTGTGTGTGTGTGTGTGTGTGTGTGTGATTGGTACCAAGACATTTCTTAACGAGGTGTTCTGATCCACCTCTCTGGAATGTGCTTTCAGCCTGTGCCTAATGCCTCTTGCTCACAGGTTAACTCTGCTTTATATTAGCAAAGTCTTAACCATTGTTGTTTAGGCCTCAGGGCTCATACTCAGGCTGTGATGTGTTGGCATTTGTTTCAGACCTTCATCTTACTACACCCCTGTATTTAGCATGTGTGCACCTGTTGCTGAAACACTGTGTCTATTTCTGGTGTTTGCAGTTCAAGAAGGTTGTTGATAAATTGAAGTGGGCTCAGAGAAGAGCCATGAAAATGACTAAAGGATTAAAAACATACCTTATAGAGATTGAGCTTTTTGAATCATTCTGTTTAGCTTAACAAAGAGAAGATTCATTGACTTGATTACATCCTTTGATTCCAGTTTCCCCACTGCCCTCACAGTGGGAGACCGATGAGAGTAAATTCTCCTATCAGCTTTTCTTACTTCTTGCGGAAGCAGGAGTACCGACACCCTCTGAGTTCAATTTAGCGAATCTTTACTAGACCTGCTAAATTGAATTCTGGAAGATCAATTGTATAGAGAATTGATACAATTCTCATAGAGAAGACATGGTCTAAGTGACCTCCTCTACTTCCAATTCCCAGGCCCAAGTCTTATCCGGTAGGTCAGAGGTGGGCAATAAAATGGTGGCAGTTCACCAAGGTTAGCTCCTGGCGAGCTGCCACTGCTATATTTGCCTGTGCCTCTGCAGGTATGGGTGATTGCAGCTTTCCAATGGGAGCTGCAGAAAGGGTGCGGACTAGGACACCATTTCCTGCAGCTCCACTGGCCAGGGACTGCTATACCTATGGAGGAGCAGGTAAATATATAGGCAACAGCCCACTAGAGGCTAACCCTGGGGAAACGGATTTGGCCCATGGGCTGATATTTGCCCACCCTTGCAGTAAGTCATGCTGCACTCCACAGGATTAATAACATACTTCAAATTACATAGATCGAGTAAAATGCTTGCAAATATCTATAGAACTTGTGGGGATACCTTGGTCTTTATGGATAGTTACCTTTATGGATAGTTACCTTTTAAAAACTTATGTACTAATTAAATATCATACCTTGCATTTTCAAAATTGTGGCAAACATAACAATAGCACAATTCAATTTTATTAATATTTGTTAAATTATGTTTGAAATTTATTGAAAATAGAATTTGATTGTTATTCTGCTGAAAAGTGACATTTTTCTGATCTTTCTTGGTTCTAAGAATATTTTATTTGTCTAGAATACACTGTACTTTCTGGATTTTATTTCAGGATGAAAAGAAAGTTCTATTCTTGGGATGAATGTATGAATTTGAGAGAAGTCAAGGTAAAACTCAGAGAATAATGTTTTTTAATGTAAACTGAATGTCGAGTCTTTATCTTGTTTAAATTCATGCTTTGATTAGTCCAAACCAGATTATTACGGAGCTAATGGCAGTGCTTAATTTCTTTACCAGATACTTTGTTTTCCTCAGGTTTTTACATCCAACAGTGCTATATAATATTTTAAACACTATGCAGCAGCTGAAATGGTGAAGCTGAAAAATTCTACATTTTGTGATATTTATATGATATATGGAAGGCTCTTCCATTTACTGTTTTCATCCAATTCCTATTTTTTTAATCTTGCATACAAATGAATTTGGTTTACAGTCATGATTTTGAATAAAGTATCCATTTGCTATACCTTTTCTATTGATTGGCATTGCCTTTTTTAAGGCAAAAAATAGATAATTGAGTGCCTGGCTGAAAAAATGTTGGATTTATAGATGAAAATAATTTCACTTGCACAAACGGAATACTCTTTTTGAAAATTTGGCCCTGAAGGTTTCTCTATTTACAGGTTGAACCTCTGTGGTCTGGGATTCTCTGGACTGGTAACATTTGTGGTCTGGCAGAACCATGGATGTTGCTGGACTAGAGATCCCTAGCAATGATATGCCAGTGGCTGGGAGCAGAGCCAACAGGCAGGAACAAGGGGGCAGAAGAGCCCACGGGGCACCAGAGCTCACAGCCGGCAGGGCCGAGGAAACTTGCAGAGCCATTGGAGGCCAATGGGGAGGGACCACAGAGCCCACAGCTAGCAGGGCCACCAGAGCTCGCGGGATGGGGGGGCCGCAGTGCCCGCAGCCAGCAGGGCTGTGAGCGCCATCAGAGCTACTGGAGCTCTTGGAGGGGAACACCAGAATTTGCAGAGCCCGCAAGGCTGCAAGGGGGCAGTGGGCAGCAGTGCCAGGTGACTGGGGAGTGGAGCCCAGTGGAGAGGCTGGCTACCTCTCTTAGTCCAGCAAACTCTCTTGTCTGAGACTGATCATGTTCTGAGGGTGCCAGTCCAGGGAGGTCCAACTTGTGTGTATATATATTAGAGATTTGTGCATCTGTCTGTGTGCTTGTCTGCAAGTCCATTTGTTCAAGAACTCCTCCTAAGCAGTAAAAGGTAGTACCACCACATTTGGTATGCAGCTTTCTGTTATCCTAATTGAAAGCAACGTCAGGGGTTAGTTGTGCCAAGAAAATAGGAAAGCCTATTTAAATTATTTTAAAAAGTCCCAGGGTGGGGAGAAAAGGCCCCTGGCACCCGTGGATGAGGAGGAGAGAAAGCACTTCTGGATGGGATCTCTTGCCCTGAGCTCACCTAACACCCCCCTCCCCCCCGCAACTCTCACTCTTGCACTTCCACACCCTCCCCACACTTTTAGCCTCCTGCTAGATCAGTGGTCCCCAATGTGGTGCCCGCGGGCGCCATGGTGCCCGCCGGGCCATTTCTGTGCACCCGCCGAGTGATTGGGGCTGGCCCCACCCCATGGCACGCAGCGCATGTGCGGTGCCAACCCCTGGGTGCATGAGCGGCGCTGGCCCCGGAGGCGCCGCATATGGTTGGTGCCGGCCCCAGGCGCGCGGCGGTTAGGCAGCCCCACCCCCGGGTGCATGGCGCGAGGTCTGTGCCGGCCCCGGGCATGCAGCATAGGGGCGGCGCCGGCCACGGGCACGCAGCACATGGGCAGCCCCGCCACCGGGAGCACGGCGCATGGGCACTGCCAGCTCCTAGGTGCATGGCACAGGCGCTGGCTCCGGGCACGCAGCACATGGACATATGGGTGGTGCTGACCCAGGCGCGAGGCATAGGGGTGGCTCTGGCCCTGGGCGCGCAGCACATGGGCGGCCCCGCCACCGGGCGCACGGTGCATGGGTGCTGCCAGCTCCTGGGTGCGTGGCACAGGTGCCGGCTCCAGGCATGCAGTGACGGCCTTGCCCCCGGGAGCATGGGACATGGGCTGTTCCGACCCTGGGCGCGCGACTTATGGGCGGCCCCACTCCTGGGTGTGCAGCACAGTTGTGGCGCCAGCCCCGGGAGTGCGGCGCATGGGTGGCGTCAGCTCCAGGCATGCAGCGTATGGGTGGCCCCGCCCCCGGGCTCGTGTGCGGTCCCGCCCCAGGTGCATGTGTGGCCCTGCCCCGGGTGCCCCGCGTGTGAGCAGCCCCGCCTCCGGGCTCCTGGCAGCCCCAAAAGGTTGGGGACCACTGTGCTAGATCATAAACACTTCTAGCCTCCTGCCCTGCCTCCTGCTCACACACTCCATTGCCAGCCCCCTGCCCGAAGGGTCCAGGTTATGCTAGATACGTTTTCTAGGTTTTTTTCATAAATGTAAAATTGCCATGGAGGAGTGCAATAATCTTTTTGGAAGACAAGACAAGATACATTGCATTTATTCAGTAACTATTTTTAATGCAGAATTAACAGAAATTTAGGTATTGCTCTATTTTACCTCTTTTGAAGAACCAAAGTCACAGTTCTAATTTGAGTACACGTGTTTCTGTATTGCAGTCTCTTAAGAAATTGAATCATGCCAATGTGATAAAATTGAAAGAAGTCATCAGAGAAAATGACCACCTTTATTTTGTGTTTGAATACATGAAGGAAAATCTCTATCAGTTAATGAAGGACAGGTATGTTTCACTTATAGGATATACAGTAGAATATGGTGTTTGCAGTTTTTTTTAATGAGTTTATTGATATCTTGAGCAATTAAATTAAATTTCCTGTTTTAAGACTTTTCCATACTTAATAGATTCAAATAACTAAAAGCTTGTTTCTGTATTCTGTCCTTAACGTCACCTTTGCAAATGCCACTTAAGTTAATAGAAGTTATGCCTGTATCTCAGTATAGAATTAGGAATTGTTCAGCTTCCAGTATATCGGAAATAACACAACCAAATGAGAATTCTGAGATATTTATATGCTTTGTATAGTAAGCCTTGCAAGAATTTGTGAAAGCAAGTTTCTTAATCCCTTTAACGTATGAAGAACCAGACTAATATTTCACCAACTGCCTATATTATTGAGTTTGCCGGGAAGGGAGGGTGAAGTGGGGAGGATGTACATAACAGAGGAAGAGAGAAAACATATTCATATACAGACTTGGAACTTTCAGTCCTTATGCAAACAAAATATCCTTTGTGATCAGAGAAAGTTTCACTTGGATATGGAACTCCATATTAAGCCTTAAAATTTTTGCTTTTGTTCTTTCATCCTTAAGGTTTGGTTGCTTCACAGTATATTGTGTAAAATGTTGAACATGTTATCTTGATACAGAAAAGAAATAATATAAAGATGCTTGAAATAATTAAACATTTTATGTAAATGTGTTTCTTTGCAGAAACAAGTTGTTCCCTGAGTCAGTCATCAGAAACATTATGTATCAAATATTACAAGGCCTAGCTTTTATCCATAAGCACGGTAGGTTTCTTTGCAGAATTTAATTGTGCAGTCCTCTTTTGGGAAAGAAGATAATGCACAGTAATCCTAGGAAAAACTTTATGGCTGGGGTTACAGGTTAAACAGATTGTATTATAGTATTATAGAAAGTACATTGCCCTACGTGGTCTCAAAAATATGCTGCCGTCTTAAAAATCCATCTACATGTTTAAATGATATTTGGTTCTTCTGTAATTGGAAGCTCTTTTCTGAAAGCATCAATAATCACTTTATTTAGAGCCTGCTTATTATGCTTTCAGACCTAGATCAAAGTGATTTTGATTCTGAAGAAATTTGCATGCTGCTCTATATAGTACATTTCTTATTTTTCTCAAGAGGGGATGTTTGGGGGCAATTGATACTTTGCAGATTGCACTTTTGTCTATGAAACTAATGATATCAAAGTAGTGCTATATCTACAAAAATGTTGAGATAATTTGTTCATTAAAATACAAACTGAGCTTGTGTATTGTGAGAAATCTAGCAAGTATGAGCAGTTGCAGCTCACCTGAAGAAGTTGTGGGTGCACTGCATCTTTCAAAACATTAGCAAAATATTCCACTCTAAGGGTGTGTCTAGACTACAGAGTTTTGTCGACAAAAGTGGACTTTTGTCGACAAAACTATACCTGCGTCTACACTACTGCTGAGTTCTGTTGACATAACGTCGACAGAACTCAGCAGTTTTGTCGACGCTGGTAAACCTCATTTTACGAGGCATAATGCCTTTTGTCGACAGAGTTATGTCGACAGAAGGTGTTCTTGCATCTAGGGTTGTGTCTAGACTACAGGGTTTTGTTGACAAAGCAGCTTGCTTTGTCGACAGAACTGGATGTAGTGTAGACGCTCTTTGTCGACAGAAGCTTTGTCGACAGTATCTGTCGACAAAACGTCTGTCGACAAAAGCCTGTAGTCTAGACGTACCCTAATTTATTCTGGTAAGCAATGCATCTTGTAAGCTGCAGTCAAATACTGGTATCAAGCTCCTTTATATTACAAAGTATCTTCCTATTTTACTGTTCATTTGATCTGTTCTACTTTTTTTCCACCTTCATCACTTTTTCTGCAACCTGACAGAGAAAATAAGATGTCCACTGATAATGAAATAAGGAACATGGTGTTCCCAGTGATCTCTAGCTTAACCTTTGTACAGAAGTGTGGTAAGGCTCTTGGATACAGTACTTGACAAAAAAGAACCACTAATGTTTTTACTAATTTTGTAAGTCAGTGGTTCTCAAGCTATTGTACTGGTGACGCCTTTCACAGAACAAGCCTCTGAGTGTGACCCTTCCTCCTCCCCCCATGAATTAAAAACAGGGCATTTTTATACATTTAACACTTTTATAAATGCTAAAGGCAAAGTGGACCTTGGGGTGGAAGTTGACATCTCGTGACCCCTCTCTACCAGTAACCTTGTGATGCTCTTGTGACCTCCCAGTTTGAGAATCCTTGTTGAAGGTGATCTATAAAGTGTTGTTTCATGTCTTTTTTTTTTTATTTATGATCATAGATGATTCTTTGATCATCAGCAAACTTTCTTTTTATATATATAAAATAAATGAGTGAATTACATGTAAAGAACTTATGAAAAGTCTTAGGGTACATCTATACTAGCCCCCTAGATCGATCTAGGAAGGCTAATGAGGTGACTGAAATTGCAAATCAAGCCTGGGATTTAAATATCCTGTGCTTGATTTGCATGTTCCCGGCCGGTCGCCATTTTAGAAATTGACTAGCCCGAAGTAACTGACCACGTCTACACACAGCAGTGAAACGGGATTCCGATTTAAAGCCCCTAAATTGAATTAGCTGGTAAACCTCATTGCAGGTGGAATACCAGCTAATTCGAGTTAGGGCTTTAAATCGGAATCCCGTTTCACTGCCTCGTGCAGACGCGGGGAGTTACTTTGGGCTAGTCAATTTCTAAAATGGCAACCAGCCAGGAACATGAAAATCAAGCATGGGATATTTAAATCCCAGTCTTGATTTGCAATTTCGGTTGCCTTCATTAGCCTCCCTAGATCGATCTAGGGGGCTAGTGTAGACGTACCCAGAGGCAGGAGGAGGAGGAGAAGAGAAAGAGAGACAGGAAAAATGCTCCAATTTTTTTTCTTACCATCCGAATAAAGAAATAGGGGTATTATTCTAGTCTTAGCTATTTGGGCACAGAAAGATGATGGAAATTTATAAAATAACCTTTAATCTTCCTAATTAGCTGAGTCTTTCTGATTTTAGATTTTCAGTACATAGGAAACCAATGACTTTTCATAAATATTGAATTGCAGTATTGCTTAGTGGTGTCATGAGATTTATAGCAACTAACAGTAAATTAAACTGCAGGAATGGTTAGACTATGTAGTGGGATAAACTATGCTTATACACAGATGAATTTAAAAACATGGATACCTAAATAGAACTTCCAAATCCTGTATATTAATGCTAAGATTAGAATTTAGGAGTATGAAACAGACTCTGGTATGTGTAATTTTTAATACAAATATCCAAAAGCAGAATTTGGATGTCCTGTTAAAAGCCTATGTCTGCAAACTGATTAAGTAACTCTAACTTCTGTAAGAAATGCTAACTGAAGAATATTGCCAGAGACTGGTTTTTTTATTGGCATGTAAGAGAAAAAACAAGCTAGTTCATGCAAAAATGGGCTCTGTTTCTAAAATTAGTTTATTTACAATTATTAAACAGAACAAATTTCCATTAACTATCATTGCTCAGATAAGCAAACCATAACCATTCAAAATTAAGAAGCAATTTCCTGGAAATTGTTACATACTTTTGTTAGAGTTTTAAACCCAGGTATTTGTGCTTATTAATTTAATTGTATTTATTGTTCAATTATGGGAAAACTTTCCTTCCTTTCTAATACTTATTTTGCAAGAGTGTGAATGAAAGAAAAGTTCATGGTCCCCAGAGAATTCCAAAGTGAATTTTATATTACTAAGCCAAAACTTCTTGCTGAACAAAGGTTGGCACAATTTGTTTTTTTCTGTGTATACTCATAGGTTTTTTCCATCGGGATATGAAGCCTGAAAACCTTCTCTGTATGGGTCCAGAGCTTGTGAAAATAGCTGATTTTGGGTTGGCTAGAGAACTAAGATCTCAGCCACCATACACAGATTATGTTTCTACCAGATGGTAAGTGATATGTACAGTAAATATATTACTTTAATTTAAGCTTTCTTTGTACCTCCACCTCTGAATTTGGCCCATTATTTCATATAGGTACCGTGCACCTGAAGTTTTGTTAAGGTCTTCTGTTTATAGCTCTCCTATTGATATATGGGCTGTTGGTAGCATAATGGCTGAACTTTACACGCTGAGACCTCTTTTCCCAGGGACAAGTGAAGTAGATGAAATCTTCAAAATTTGCCAAGTATTAGGCACTCCAAAGAAGGTAAGGCCAACTGTAAAGTTATAGTATTAAAAATTATGAGAATAAGTGAATAAATCACATCAGTCACTATCTTGCTTTTAATAGATGAATATAAACATTTACATTATAGTAATTGCTTGTGTAGTTTGATGCTTTGTAAATTGTTCCTCTTTGTTCTTATTGATATATAAAATAATATTGGTGTTTTTATTAACACCCTTTATATGATGTTTGATTTTTTTTTAAAATCCCTTACTCTCTATCATGTTGAAAGCCAGATAAATTATATGTTTTTTTTAAAAGAGGTTGTGCATGTGGCTTTAAGAATATTTGCTTACACTTTATATTTTATTGTAACATGTTCAAATTACTATTCTCGAATTATTATGATGTCTTAATTAGAGCATTGTGAGGGGGAAATGGAATATGAACTACTGTATTAAGGTGGAAACCTTCTGTTTTCATATAAAAGATGTTTAGCCATGGCATCAAGAGGATACATTTAGACAATCTATTAGTATTATACAGAATTACTTTCAATTATTTTAGGCACATGATACAATTTAAAGATGAAGTTTTAAAAAAAATGTTGACTGAATAGTGCTTACAGAAATATGCACATGAGTATTTGCATTTGTGCACACAACAAAATTGCTTAAACAAGATATCTGTGCAGGCAACTATTCAGCTATGCAAACATAATTGCTGCAGGCACGAATCAGATTTAGTTCTTTTTAAAACAAAAATTATAAATGTTTGATTCTGTAATGAGTTATAAAAGAACTATACAGGTACACTCTAAGGGTATGTCTAGACTTCATGCCTCTGCCGACAGAGGTAAAATAGGCTACCTGACATAGTCAATGAAGCAGGGATTTAAATATCCCCGGCTTCATTCAAATAAAAATGGCTGACTCACTGTGCCGGCTCAGCTGATCATCAGCACAGCGTGTGGGTCAAGACGCAGATCGGTTGACAAGGGAAGCCTTTGTCGACCGCTCCCTTATGCCTTGTGAAACCCTGGAGCCCACAATTTTCTAGGTGCTGTCCCTGTTTTAATAAAGAAGTTGTCAACAGTAATAGAGGAATGAGGGAGAGGAGAATGTTTGGATAGACATATTAGATGCTTGCCTATTAATATATGGAGACTGGGACATTTGGTAGCCCATGGTGTGGCGGATGTAAGTGTACCCAAGAGACTGAATGAGAAGTATTAGGTGTAACAGACAGTTTCTGTTGAAATTGCTCATTAAAAACGCTGTGTATTACATAGTAAGTACTCCAGGATTTTAGTCTTTATAAAAAAAATTTTTATTAATGGCAAGTGAGTGAGGGGAGCAAGCAACAGAGGAGAAGGGATGGAGTGAACGGGGGAGTGGCCTTGGAGAAAGAGTGGGGTAATGGACTGGTATTGGGGAAGGAGTGGGACATGGCAATGGTGTTCAGTTTTCTGCAATCAGAAAGTTGGCAACCTTTCTGGCAGACAGTCTCTTGAGTGTAATTACCAGCCTGCTTGCTTTAGAGCAGATGCTAGGCTGTTCTGAAGTGCTTTGGGACTGGGGTCATTGTAAAGCCAGCCCCAGGATCAGGAAGCTGTAATTGGTTCCTCTGTGGCTCTTTCCTCTGCTGGGCAGAGAGAATCTGGCCCTTCATCTGCCTATGACAATACCAAGTGCAGTTCTTATGGGAAACCTATGATTTCCTGTAACCTTAAATTTGCTTTTCGTTTAGCAACTTACCACAATAACAGGCATATCAACTGACACATTGACGTACTGTGCTTCTTTATGCAGATACACAAAGTTATGTTAATGGATTAATTATGCCTGCAGACAGGTTTCACAACTACATGCAGTCCCTGACTTACGCACTTACGAACGGGGCTTTCTCGCCCCGGAGCTCGCAGGCAGCGGTCCTGCCACCTCGACCTCTGGGGCGAAAAAAGCTGCTCCCGGTGCCCCTGGTCTGCTGGGGACCGTCTCCAGCAGACCAGGGACACCGGGAGCAAAGCCTC